CTCCGATTAAATATTTCATTCAAATCTTGCACAATGCTTTTCTCGTCTCTGTTTGATTTCCAAGTTATCTACCTTATTGTTTGTTTCAACTTAAATTTGTTTCCCATATTTGAATCTAGCCCTCTGTTCTTTTCCTTAACCCTTTAACTCCCATGAGTGACCAAGACAGAATTTCTCCTTACAATATCAACACAGAATCAAGCAGACAAGTGAGAAGAATAAAGAAGAAAACTCAATTAGAGAACTACAAGTTGATCCAATACCAAATTCTCCAAATTGAAATCATGAGTATTTTATGGCAGACAATAGGGAGGATTACTAATGAGGTCTTGGGAGTTAAAGGATTAATTCTGGCTGATTGTCACGTTCATATCCTACGAACTGTTTGCACTCTCCTGTTTGGCGTTAGTATCTCGCGCAATGTTTTCTCCTAATTTTATCTCAATAGTTTGCTCACCGTTTCTCTTCTTCTCTATTTGTTAATACTTTTCTTTTAGTATATTGCACAATGTTTGATTTTTGCAGTAATTCTCAACCATTTTGATTTTTTCTAATTTCCCAACCATTTCTCTGTCAGCTAATTTCCTGCGTTCAGTTTTCCCATCCCAATTTATTGTAGATCCCTATTGATAGTATACTTAATAGATCAAACGACTTAGTTGCAGGTTTCATTATCACCATCATCACAAAAGCACGCAAAATCTACTACTTGACTGAAAAAAAAATTAAAAATGTCTTCGCAAAGTAATACCAGTGTCCATTGAACGACAATGTTTAGGAAGAAGAATCTTTGTGTAGGATCAGTAGTCACTCTGTTTCTTCTCCGCCTCGTTGTTGTCCTCCTCGAGTCCTTCTTTCCTGAAAAAAGCATTATATTTGTCACTATTTCAGCTTTAAAGTAAACGGAACAGATTTCCAATCAAAGAAATTACTTTCTTCTTCAATTCCATTGGCTATGATTGTCCAAACTTGTCGAACATACCATGCTTGATACGAAAGTGACTTTAAGATTGTCAATTTATTGTTATTTTTGTTGATTTTTCACAAATAAAGTTAACTTTTCAGCTTCTCAAGTTACCTTCATCGTCATAACGTGTAGTATCGCATCGACTTTGACTAATTATTTCCGAGTATATTGCATACAAAAGAAACGCTAATTCAAAGCCAATTTTAGAAAGCCTTCTGTGAAAAAATTCTGGCTCCGAGCGCTAGATAAAATCAAGTTCTTTTTCCTGGCATTTTATGGATGAAAGACAAAGACAAAAAAAAAAAAAAAAAAATTACGACAACTGAGTGAAGTGAATAAGTTAAGTGTGCTAATCGGTTTATCGTAGAAAATTGCTCATTCTAATCAGACTTACCCTTTTTTCATAAAATCAAATGTCACGTTATCCCCCATCAACACAAACGGAGCCCATTGGGAAGGTTTGGAAAATCCATTACTTCTCAACCATTGAACGGCCTGGTGAAGAGATTCACTGGCACTTTCTCCACGCACAAGGTGTTTATAGAAATGTTTCATGAGCTTCGCCGTTGCTTTGTCTTCTATAGCCCACGATGCTACCAACACTGAACGTGCACCAGATGCTAGGAATGCTCGAGCGATTCCAATAACTCCTTCTTTTTTAATCAATCCACGCCCACTGTGACAACAGCTGAGTACTACCAGTTTAGCTCGCACTTGAACTCCTTCAATGTCGGACATTGTCAGGAGGTAGTCTTCCTCTTGTGGAGTACTGTTAATAGTACATTGAGGAGAGAGGGCAATCTCTCCTCTTTCGGGATTTCCATGTGCGGCAAGATGTATCAGACTCACTGAAGGTATTGCTTGAAGAACCGCCTGCTTTGTTGCGCGACTTCCCAATATAGGCTGAACACCCAGCAGTTGACCAACCATCTCTGCTTCCTTACTTGCATAAAACAATGGTGTAATGTCAATAAGACGTCCATTATATTGCACTTTGCCAACCGTAGGATCACCCACAACCAGTCCGCCAGTTTGACTGTGATAGTCTGCTGGACATTGTTGAATGAGCCGGATAGTTGTCAGTGAAGGGACGATGCGTATTCTGTACTTCTCCGATAAATACTTGCCGGCTTGTTCATCACGCAAGGCAGCAAATGGGACTCGGTACAAAAAACGATCCGGTACAATGATGATTTCAGGCTCTGTGAGTAAATCTACCACAGGTGCGACGATCCATTCGTAGCACAAATGATGACTTCTTCCGGTATCTTTGGTTTCGTCACCTCGCAAATTTGCTTGGCTCTCTTCATGAAGAGATGTCGTCAAGTTGTCATTCAGCGATCGGTCTTCGCAGTTCCCTTCGGGTAAAACACCAAAGCATTCGGCGCTCTTTTTGAAAACTCCCTCCACTTCGCAAACTTGCGCAGCAATAAGAGTGTCTATTTTCACTTCGTCTGTTCTTCGAAAGAAAATGTCTCCATTTGCTTTCAACACCCAGAGAAGAACTTGCCGATCTTCATACGAAATGTACAAAAAAACACAGTTACTTTCTCTTCTCGCGATGTTTTCAATCCCGAACCATGATCGTGGATCAGCTGAGATGTGGCTTTCAGCGGAGTACTTGTCTGCCATGAGTTCTGCGAGGACTCTTGCTCGTCCCAGCTCCTCAACATAGAGAGCATCTCGAAAGTTTCCAGTACGGCAAAGGAGGTGAGTGAGTAACTTGTAGGGAAAAGTGCCGTGTTTCTCTAACAGAGAAATTTCAAATCCACTGTTTCCTTTCTGGAGAGTTCTGATTTGTTCATATTTTTCAATGCCTTGGAGAAGATATTCCATTGCCTCCACAACCTCGAACTGCGATATCTTTAACACTGAAATAAGGAGAAGACTTTGAAACTCAGCCATTTTGTATCCAATTTCGCTGCTTATGGAACAAGCTTTCTGTAAATAATATGCTGCCTTATCATATTCACCAAACGATTGGGATAGACTTCCAACCTGTAGGTATAGTTGTACTTCGCACTTCTATTGCCACATTCTCTGCTGATTGTAAGCGCCTTCTCACAAAGTTCTTTTGCCTTCTGACTGTCATTTACAGAATCAGAGACACTTGCCAAATTTACAATAGCCATTGCTTCCAGTTCTCTGTCACCAATTGCAATACTGACGCCGACTGCTTTGTCCAAATGTTCTTTAGCTTGCCGATTTTTATTAAGAATGTGGTACACCACTCCAAGTTTTAAGTATGCTGTACCTTCGCTTCTTCTGTCGCCAATATCTATCGCGATGGCAAGTGCTTTCTCGTGATATTCTTTAGCATTCTGATATTCGCCAAGGGAATCAAACACATTTCCGAGGTTCCCGTATGTTGTTCCTTCTCCTTTTCTGTCGCCAATTTCTATCGCGATGGCAAGTGCTTTCTCGTGATATTCTTTAGCATTCTGATATTCGCCAAGGGAATCAAACACAGTTCCGAGGTTCCCGTATGTTGTTCCTTCTCCTTTTCTGTCGCCAATTTCTATCGCGATGGCAAGTGCTTTCTCGTGATATTCTTTAGCATTCTGATATTCGCCAAGGGAATGAAACACATTTCCGAGGTTCCCGTATGTTGTTCCTTCTCCTTTTCTGTCGCCAATTTCTATCGCGATGGCAAGTGCTTTCTCGTGATATTCTTTAGCATTCTGATATTCGCCAAGGGAATCAAACACACTTCCGAGGTTCCCGTATGTTGTTCCTTCTCCTTCTCTGTCGCCAATTTCTATCGCGATGGCAAGTGCTTTCTCGTGATATTCTTTAGCATTCTGATATTCGCCAAGGGAATCAAACACACTTCCGAGGTTCCCGTATGTTCTTCCTTCTCCTTTTCTGTCGCCAATTTCTATCGCGATGGCAAGTGCTTTCTCGTGATATTCTTTAGCATTCTGATATTCGCCAAGGGAATGAAACACAATTCCGAGGTTCCCGTATGTTGTTCCTTCTCCTGCTCTGTCGCCAATTTCTATCGCGATGGCAAGTGCTTTCTCGTGATATTCTTTAGCATTCTGATATTCGCCAAGGGAATCAAACACACATCCGAGGTTCCCGTATGTTGTTCCTTCTCCTCCTCTGTGGCCAATTTCTATCGCGATGGCAAGTGCTTTCTCGTGATATTCTTTAGCATTCTGATATTCGCCAAGGGAATGAAACACACTTCCGAGGTTCCCGTATGTTGTTCCTTCTCCTTTTCTGTCGCCAATTTCTATCGCGATGGCAAGTGCTTTCTCGTGATATTCTTTAGCATTCTGATATTCGCCAAGGGAATCAAACACATTTCCGAGGTTCCCGTATGTTGTTCCTTCTCCTTTTCTGTCGCCAATTTCTATCGCGATGGCAAGTGCTTTCTCGTGATATTCTTTAGCATTCTGATATTCGCCAAGGGAATGAAACACACTTCCGAGGTTCCCGTATGTTGTTCCTTCTCGTCTATCGCCAATTTCTATCGCGATGGCAAGTGCTTTCTCGTGATATTCTTTAGCATTCTGATATTCGCCAAGGGAATGAAACACACTTCCGAGGTTCCCGTATGTTGTTCCTTCTCCTTTTCTGTCGCCAATTTCTATCGCGATGGCAAGTGCTTTCTCGTGATATTCTTTAGCATTCTGATATTCGCCAAGGGAATGAAACACACTTCCGAGGTTCCCGTATGTTGTTCCTTCTCCTTTTCTGTCGCCAATTTCTATCGCGATGGCAAGTGCTTTCTCGTGATATTCTTTAGCATTCTGATATTCGCCAAGGGAATGAAACACACTTCCGAGGTTCCCGTATGTTGTTCCTTCTCCTTTTCTGTCGCCAATTTCTATCGCGATGGCAAGTGCTTTCTCGTGATATTCTTTAGCATTCTGATATTCTCCAAGGCTAGTACAGACATTTCCGAGTCTTCCATGAGCCAGTGCTTCTTTTCTTTTGTGACCAATTGTTTTCATGATAGTGAGTGCGCCTTTAAAGAGTTGCTTTGCCTCTACAAACCGGCTTTGTGTGTTACATATGTCTCCTACTTCCATGATTAGTGTCCAAGCATGGTTAAATTTGTCAAGAAGTTTGGTGGCATGTCTTTCTGCATCTGTGTAACCAGAGATGGCGTAGTACGCATTGAATAGTACATCGGAGATTTCAAGGTGACTACCAGAGTCAAGGTTGTGAAGTAGGATCACACATTCATTACATAACTCAGTCGCTCGTAGGCCACGATCAGTGTTCAGAAGAAATATGACGACGTTTAAACCTATCTGGACTGATTTTAGGATTTTTGCAGCGTCACTCATAACGGCTCTCTCCTATTTGTTGTCGTAAGAAAGAATCAGCAAAAAAAGGAAGCTTAAAAAAAAGTAACACTGAGAAATGTTCGAGTTTTTAAACATGACCAGGGAATTTTCCCAAAAGTTTGTACGTGAAACAAGATCAGGATCCTCACTCTGCTGCCCTTCAAAAACCAGGGACTAACTAAGCTCTGATTTCCGTTGTTATATGTTTCAAAATCGAGGCAAATCAATATATCTTGATCTATCTGGAGATATCCATCTACGTGACGCACAGGCGGCCCCAAGCTCCAGCTGTGAGATGATCATCTTGCGCAATAACAGTCGTGAATTACAAGAGTTTGTATGGGAATATTTACAACCGCTCCAAGGAATATAAAAATACGTTAAATTCTCAATAAAAATACCTCACCTTACTTCCACAACGTATCACTTGTTATCTTTACTTTGATGAAAAGAACCCATTTTAGTGAGTTGTTCATTTCGAGGTTTTCTTATGTAGGTAGAAAACCTCGAAATGGAAAACTCGCTAAAATGGGTTCTTTTCATCAAAGAAAGCGGTCAGATAACAAGCGATACGCTGTGGAAGTAAGTTGAGGTATTTTTATTGAGAGTTTGACGTATTTTTTTATTCCTTAGAGCGGTGGTAAATATTCTCATACAAACTCTAATAATTCCGCCATGACTGTTATTGCGCAAGATTATCATCTCACAGCTGGAGCTTGGGCCACCTGTGCATGACATAGATCTGGTTTCGTTGTGTGGTGGAAAAATTTGATGGACATAAATCTAACAAAAAAAATCACATTCTACAACTAAACGAAGTATAAAACTGTTCAGTTGAGCCCAGATGAAGATATTTGTGCAAGATTCGTGTTGGTATTTCTAACCGTTTGTCCCACAGAGATCAAGCCGGCATGTCAGTCTTAGGAACTCGCTTAATTAATTTGAGATGAAGAAATTAGAACATGTAAGCGTTGCCAATGGTTAACTGCCCATCAATTATTTTGAAAAAACTATTTTTTGATTTAATACCGCATAAATTTGGGAAAAGAGCAAAAATTCTACCCAACGTTTCAACCGCTTACAAAATGCTTGTTATTCAGACGAAGGAAAATCTTTCTATTTCATTCAATTACGTACGCGTTACTTCAGTAACTGATATACCAACTTCTCCAAATTTTTTGTTTCGTAAAATAAAGTCAATTTCATTCATGAAAAATGAAACTAAGGTAGCAATACAAATGCAGAAATTAAAGAAAACGAACAGCTCACCTTTTCAAAACAGAACATGCCTTTTACATTGGTGCCTGATAGCGTGACTAATGAAAACAAAATTAAGAAAATGAAATGAAATGAGAATTTCCAAGGCAAACAAACGTAAATGCAAATAGCTGATGTAATAACATTTTACTCGCACGGTTGGTGAGAAGAAATCATCAGAATAAGAAAAAAAAACCTAAGATGGAAGAGAGATTGTTTCCTAAGTTGCCTATAAGATTCATTAAATAACATACAAGATCTTACATTATAAAATAATTCAAATAGTACGCGCGCTCTGATTGGCCATCAAACCATTTTACATGAGCGTATGTAAACACGGTTTTCGTTCCTCTTTCATTAGTTATTTTATAAAAGAAATGTAAAATGGTTTCCGTGTTTACATAGCCTGATGTAAACACTTGGGAGGTTGGGAGAACACTCGATAAGCTGGAAACCACTCCGCTTCGCGTCGTGGTTTCCTACGCTTATCTCGTGTTCTCCCAACCTCCCGCGTGTTTACATCAGGCTATGTAAACACGGAAACCATTTTACATTTCTTCAATAGTTTTAATCATCACAGAAGTGATGAACTTGTTGTTTCTCCTTACAATATCAATATACCATATAGCAATGCTGAGAGTAAACAGACTCATCATTCAGAGGGTGTTATCTCTATGAGTAGCAAGTTTCCATCCATGTTAACTCATAATGTTTATGAAATAAATTTTTGGCCGTTCACCTTCAGTGAAATCTAAAATATCTTCGGATAGTTAGGAGACCAAAATCACAAAACTGATGTAATAAACTTTCTCTGCAAAGTAATGAAGAATGCGAAGAGCTACTGTAAGATTAAATAGGAAAATTATCGGTTAAAAAAGTAATCATTATAAACCTAATAAGGATGGAACCTGCATTGCAGCTTGCCCATAAGATATCTCAATAAATATTGGAGCTCACATATCGTTGATAAGAGTTTGGTGGATTTAATTTTGCTTTGCTCGATTTGTAAAGCCATCAAGTTACAGAAGTGAGGAACATGTTGCTTCTCTTTCCACAATCAACATATTATTCAGTGAACAAGCGACGAGAATGCTTATCAGCTGAGGGTTTTTTCTTTATACAACATTAAATTCTCCCGCGCAGAATGCTATTGTCTTTCGCGACATGTATTTACAGTGCCCAGTTTATCAACGAGCGGATATCAATTTGCATGTCTAGAACTTATCAGCTGTGATTGGTCAACAAATTTAGCTTTGGGAATACTTGAGTCGCACTGCAGATTTCAGCTGCTGTCAATCAAACGGTTTGGTGCGTGATGTCAGTCACCAAGGTGCGATAGAGTTAACAATAGCACACTAATTAAAGGCCGGCCGCACTGTTCACAAAGCGTTTGCAGATTCGTGTGCGACGATATTTTTTATTTGACTCGATGTAAAAGTTCTTATCATGTTTTAACTTTCAAAAATTTACCGCCATTTCACAGCCATTACTGATTTCGTGCTTAAATAAGTAAATAAATGAGGCGAAACATTGTCATTGTTCATAGAGGCGGAGCTTAGAGTAATTAATATGCACGCGCGAGGTTCAAAATGAATCAGTTCAACTCCCAAAGGCCCTTGGGACGGTGAAGAATCAAAGAGAGAAAATGAATGTTCCAGAAATGCTGGATTTGATACTATTTCCAGACATCGGATTCCCTTCATATGTTGCATGAGCCCTTTATACTTTTTAAGAAAACATATCCATATGCAACCCAACGTGCTGATATCTTCATTTAGGAGAAATTCGGCCTGAAAGTTATCATAAATCTATTTCCCATACTGAAATTTACCCAAAGTAGGTCAAGTTGAGCACAAAATTGATAAAGGTTAAAGAGATGGTACCGAGTCAAAAATGGTTGTTATTTTATTATGAAAATCTTTTCTTTGAAAACCATATGCAACCCTTTCGATATTTTATATAGTTAAGCTGTGAAAAAACTAAACGCAAGGGGACCTTTGCCTATTGCGGCCATTTTTCTTTATTGTGTCATGCCATTTGTCGTTTCGGTCTTTTAAATTTAGCGCCCTTGCACCCGTAAATATCCCAGATGTGTCACACAATTCTGCGCGAGCAAGCAAGGTAATGTGAGGGAGCTAGAAGGAAGAATTCCTGATGAGATCATAAATTTGAAAGGTAAAGATGATGCAGACCTTTAATATTTTGTTATCCAAATCAAAAATTGATTCCAATTTGGAAGCTCTCCACAAATATTACTAGATTGTTTGGAATTACAACTCTTTCTTATCACTGATTTTGCTATATTTAAACCAGAAATATATTTTTTCGAATCAGGAAAAGAATAATTATTACTATAAATTTAGTTTTTTTTGCTGGTAACCCTTTCAAAAATAAACACGCTTTGTTTGGGTGATGAGACCAAAAGTGGCGAGAAACAAAGATAAATGCAAGCAGCTCGTGTGAGAACAAGGTTTCTGAGTTTGATCGGTCTAAGACAAGAAACTATAAACTGCAGTTGATAATCTCTTGGTGTGACAGATATCAATATGACTTTCTGTTTCGCCCATAGCGTCGTTGTAAAAACTTTGAAGCGCTTTTCTTTCCACATCAAAAATCTCTGTCCTTGAATTCAATTTCTGTTACGCCTGATTTGAGCAGGCACCGAAAGCATTTTTTCAATAAAAAAAAGAGAGAGAGATGGGACTGTAGGCAGATATGTTCTTTATTTTTGCTGCTTTACTCTTGAACAAGGAGTTTTATTTTGTTTCGTGTTCTGATCGAATGACTGAGGCAGCCGAGGGTAAAAAACTGAAATAACGCTTTCCTTGCAAAACAGAGATGAATGACAATCTGACAAGAGTGTAAAAAATGTAACAGCTTCATCGGTGAAATAAAGAATCGTTTAGAAAACCTAAAACAGAACTACATCGCTTTCTAACTTCCCCGTAATTTAAATAAAGAACATGACATCTTCATGTTCTTTTTTTTGAAGATTTCAGATTTAAAAATCTGATTTTCCGGTTCATTCATCGCGTATCTGCTTTTACACTTTCACTCCCAGACTATGACACCAAAGAATTGTTTAACGTGCAATTTTCCCCTACAATATCAATATATTCTTCAGCCAACAGTTTTGGAGAATAAAGAAACTTATCAGCTGGACGGTGTCAAATTGACGCAACACTTCATTCTCTAAAATTATTTACTGAGATATTTGTTACATTTGCAAAGGAGACTTAGTGAGATCATGAAAGTTAAAGTCCTAAAATTGAGTTCATCATTTTATTTTGCAGACTATGTTCGGTTTAAGTTAAGTTTTAAGCAACAAATCTTTGCCAAAATCTAAGACTATTTGGAGGTTAAATCCTCTGTCTTTGAATGTCCAGTGCAAAACATTTCAGTTTTGTAAAGCGGGAAAGATTGTTTCTAAATTTATTTTTTTACTACTAACCTTTTACACAAGAAGCTTGTATTGTTTGATATTCTAGTCGTATGACTGATGAAACCAAAAGCAAGAAACCGAAATACGACTTCCCCTGCAAAACAAAGATAAATGCGAATAGCTATTGTAAGAAAGACGTGAAACCTTCTGTAAAATACAAGTAAAATGGCTGAATAAAAAATTGATGAACCGAAGAGGGACAAACGGTAACCAAGTGTAAAGATTGAGCTCGATTTCTACAGAACAAAAAATAAAGGCCGTTTAGGAACTTGAAAATCAATCGCTCATCATCTTCTCCATA